TCTAGACCGAAGGACAACCCGGACAAAACCAAGAAGAACAATGTGATATACCAACTCAACTGCAACAACTGCAACAAATTCTACGTCGGACAAACTGGCAGGAGACTATGCACACGAATAAAGGAACACAACGCGGCAGTCAGGAGACATGACCCCCTGTCCTTGATACCTATGCACGAGTACTAAGAAGACCACAAATTCAATCTGGAAAACGCCAAAAAATTTTGTCATACGGAGACACGCGACACGGACGAGAATTTCTGGAAGCATGGTAATCCACGGCAGATTCGACCAACCGGTGCATCGAACTGGATCCAATTTACGCAACTCTACGTGCACCTCAACCGGAACACTCAAGGAGGACCGAATATTGGATTCACAAACGAGGAAACAACTAACTGGAGTGAGTCAAATCAAATAAGGACAAAGAGGACAAAGATCATTTTCAACATCGACCAGACTACGACGGTGAGGGTTGCCAAGCTGGTCACGTGGAGGAGGACCGAATATTGGATTCACAAACGAGGAAACAACTAACTCCTCGGAGTCAAATCAAATAAGGACAAAGAGGACAAAGATCATTTTCAACATCGACCAGACTACGACGGTGAGGGTTGCCAAGCTCAAAGGTCACGTGGGCATCGGCGACTGAGAAGACGGGATAACAGAACAACCAATGGAAGCAGCCGACCGAACAAATAATCGCGGTCAGAGGTCATCCCCGGCTACCAGCACGTATATTAACACACACGTAACACTACTCAACGCACAACCACCAACCCACCGCTACGCACAACTACGCTCCCCAATAACGCACTGATGATGTCACCTCGATTGGTGATGAAACGTTTGCAATCAAATTGCCCAGCTCAGCGAACAAGCCAACGACCATCTACGCTACCTGAGCTACCGACACACTCACTGCATCATTCAAACTATTCTACATACCCAGGATTGCGTTGTATCGGTCTTTATAAGGTCAAAACTGAGTGATATTCAATCCTGGTTTCCTTGTTCGTTGCAATTTGCATACCCGTGGCTACCATGTAGTTTTCCAGTTCACAGACATCCGTACTAAACTTTTCAATGATTGGTGAACACAAATTTTAACGTTGGCTTATTTGGGGCACAAACCATGAAATATCGACAGTAGAGTCGATGGAAATCAAGTGTCATTTAACATGAGCTACGGTCATAACAGTCGTTCACTTACGCAATAAAAACACTTTATACGAAACTAATTTTGTGTTGAGAACTCTTACGTTAGGGTAGCAGTATTTCTCCGTCAACATTTTTTGAAACCTAACCAATATGCATTCAGTGAACTAGAATACTAGTGAAACGGGACGGCACACACGGAACAAATAACCTTAAGGTACGCACAAAACAGGACGGCTCAAATTTCAAGAAATTGCATAAAGACAATAATCAAAACAGCATTAAAAATGGCTTTGAGACTTATTGGTGGTTGGTCCGATGGCAGTTGATCTGTTCGCCGACCTTGACAATTGGCTTGCAAACGTTTCGTCTCCAGTCGAGGAGCATCGTCAGTGCGCAGCTGAATGCGTGCTTCCTCCGTGCCTAGCTGCGTTTATGTAGTTTTTTGTAGAGTATCTAATATCCTGTCATGTGACTGGCTAGTTGGTATATGCCTTCTGTTGCATCATGGTAGGACCGACCGTGATTTTGTTTTGCTGCTTTGTGGTCAGTATGCCTCTTATTTCACTGGTTTGTTGGATGGCTGTTTTGGGGTGTTCCGGGTCTGTTTGCAATTGGTCCGTTCCCGGTTTGTGTTTCGTTGTGGCCTTCCTTCCTTAGTTCTGCTTGGTTGTGACAGTGTCTTCTGTTTTTGGTAGTTTCCTCGCTTCAGCCTGATCACTTGTTTCTTTTCTCTTTGTCCGCCTCTGCGTTCTGTAGCTCCATAATTCTTTTGTTTGCAGTGGCCGATAGACTGGACCAATTTCGATGTGTTTGTTGATAGCTTTTTCAGTAGAGTGCCATGCTTCTATGAATTCACGTTCTTTCTTTGTACTCGCTTGGGCCAATATGTGAACGGTGCTCCAGTTGAACTTGTGTCCCTCTTGATCTTCATGTACGGAGACGAGCGAAAATTGGTCATGCCTCTTGGATGCGAGTTTATGTTCATGTATCCTGGTAGAAAGCTTCCTTCCTGTTTGTCCCGGGCGGTCACGGTCGGTCCTACCATGATACAACAGAAGGCATATACCAACTAGCCAATCACATGACAGGATATTAGATACTCTACAAAAACTACATAAACGCATCTAGGCACGGAGGAAGCATACATTCAACTGCGCACTGACGATGTTTCCTCGACTGGGGACGAAACGTTTGAGAGCCAATGGCCAAACTCGGTGAACAGATCAACTGCCGTCCGATCAGCGACCAGCATTAAATGATGTAAGCAGTAAAGAATTGCTGCCCCAAATCTGCAAACAAACCATCAGACGTTTAGCACAGTTTGTAGCACATCCCTTAGACTTAGTCCCCAAAAGCGGAATTACTCGATCCCTCATTTGCGCAGTAATTTCGTTGGTTGTCCATCCTGAACTAACATGCATAACGAAAGTGCTATAGCTGTACCTCTGATGAACTCCCTGATAAGCAACATTATGCTGGAATTCTTTGCATCATTTGCTGCACACATGTCACCCAGTTAAATTGTTGTGAAGACACAATCGCATCGGCGAGTTTCTCGTGCATATAAGATCAAATTTAACGTTCGAACAAATTGCTGTTTGAGTTAACGGCGTCAGCGCCTCAAAACTCCTCTCACTTGATTAGCCTCAAAAACAAATTCTTGTTTTTGTGGGGCTTATGAGCAATTTTTCTGTGCTACTAAATTCTGTAAAAATCCCGCAGCCAACACCTGAAACAAAATCAGCCCAGCGTGTTTCAAGCGTCTGTGAAACTACCTGACTGAGATGCTCTGACTGGCGGGCCAGTCGTTCGAGGCGTCGGGCGTTCCGCCCTCATTACCCAGGCGCGAACGTGTTCAGCTGTTCAAAAGTAGGAATCTGGAGGAGTCCAGCGTGGGGGGTAACAAACTCACCTCGCATGTCAGGCGTGCGGAGTTCGAACCCCGGCACGGCCATTGGATGTGCACGGTTGACGAGCTCTAATAAGAGGGAAATTCCAGTCCAATGCTTCCTCCTTTTGGCGTGAACTCACCGGGACGATTGCTCAAACGAGAGTCGCGTGGGTGTGCGTTATACAAAAAATCCTGCAACCATCATTACTTGAACATCGCAATAGAAATCAAGGCAGGTTATTTGCTGTATTTCATACGAAGTACAACTATGCTTTTCTCATGGGAGTCTTCACCGTGTTCCCAGAAAAATACTCTGGGAATGTGCATGAACTCAAGAAAAAATGGTATTTTACCAATGTGAGTTTGGTTCGCAGCTATTTTGTAAGATTTGCCCTTCGAAAACCAGACTCCTCAGAAATCGTTTTTCGCAGCACTGATCGCTGCTACCCAATAAACTTTCTGTTCCAAACGAATCAACGTTCAATATTTGAGCGAACCGGAATTTATGAATGTAACGGTAGACCACCGATTGACAAAAAGTATTAGCCAGCAATTGCCCTATGAAAGACAATCCAGAAAGCTCGTTTTCTCAGTATTTACTTATACACGAACATAGCACTAACTAATACCTCAGCCCTGCGTATTAAGCAGCCGTGATTTGAACGGTCGCTTAAGCTGTGACGATCTTCTGGTCAAACGCGCCAACTTTTTTCTCCTTGTTTCATGTAGACGAACAAGCGTAGCAAAAAGACACTGGGGAAGATTCCAAGCAGCACATTTGCAGTTGATCTGCCAACCAAAAACTACTCCATGCGTGCAACCAAAATAGTGTCTGTCGTGTCCGTCAACCTATTTTTGGGTACGTTGTTATTAAGATATCTGAACGGATTATCACGAACTACATAGTAATTTTGCATAAAATCCGTAAGCATTATACGGGTTGGTGCATCTAAGTAATATGAAATCCAAATCGAATATTTTCACTTCATGGCATTTTCGAATAATAATAGGGCGTTTACCGTTTGGCCTGTGTACAAAATTAAGATGAGAGCAATTTAAAATCCCCGATAGGAGTATTGGCGTTGAACTGGTGGAGCAATCTGAGCATCGGATTGACCAAACCTGCTGACTTATTGGCAATCAACCGGTTCCAGTACTTCCAAAATCAAACTTTACTCCGATACCAGCATTACTTTACTTAGCCAGCTACATGTGAGTTTTGAAGCCCCTGCATTTAGTACTGCGTGGCAGTGTGCAGCATCTGAAGTCAGTCTACGATTTACTTTGTCTAATTCTTCCCTTCGTTCCTGGACTTTTTTCGACTCTTGTGTTATGAAGTGTGGATAGCCGCAAAGTCGGCTGTCGGCATGCTGGTTACGTCGTTGAAGAGCACATGTTTATTTGTGTGGTGGTGCCTTGGATGTGTGGAGAGCCAGAAGCAGAATGGACTTCCTCCTGCGTCACGAACGTCAAATTGCAATTCTCTGGTAAAGGTCAAAAGGTCGACACGAACAAGCGACATGTTAGAGCTGGATTCCATTGGTGACAATGTGCACTTCAGAATTTGTTTAAACTGAGTGGTGTAGGCCTCATTGTCGGTGGGGTTTTCGGGGACCACAGATGACGCTTCGTTCGTTTGCGCACGTCGGTATAGCACACGTAACTTGGTTTGGATAATAATAGCCAATTTATCAGAAAGGAAACGTTATCTTCTAGCGATCGCCGCTGTTTCTATCTGGAAATAGCGATTTTGACTCTTATTGGATCTAGTGGATACCGGTAGTCCCCACTTGGCCAAGCTTATCTGCATCATGTTTATTGAAAACGCGTCATCGATGTTGATTCAGGTCAATCGGTGTTGGAAACCGGCAGAAAAAACAGCACAGTCCATCCAGGCGACCGCTTCGTGTCAACACCTTCATGGGTGTGAACTGAACGATGGATCAATGGGCCAGTTTTGGATTTGCACTATTCGCCACAGTCCTTGAGCGTCAGTCGCAAGAGGCCCTCCTGTGCACCAGTTGAAAGTGGCGCAGAACCGCTATCCGGACGATTCTTCCACTGTCGATTGTAACTAGTAAGTCGAAAACAAACTAATCCTCCTGGAGTTGCTGAATTCTTAATTCACTCAGCCTGACGTCCGTGGTATCCAGCTGGCACAGTCTATGCTTTTTCCCTTACTTAAAAAGACATGTGTATTGTGTTGTAAATTGCCCGTGATGACAAAGGCAAAAGCAATATTAATTTGCGACCTTGTTATTCTAAAGATTTCACTGATTATGCAAGGTCTATGGAATCTTTGTGGGGAACTGTCGAAAGATACTAATTTCGCATTACTTTGCTCCCTCTTACGATTGCTGTATAAACATACAAACGGAAAGTGTTTTGACATCCCCATGTTCGAGTTTATCAGACGTGTTTGAAAATGCATTCAAACATTTGAAATGATAAAAGCCCGTTTTCCTCAGTTAATACAATATACGTGTCCAGGTAAAGTTTATTTCAAAGGGTTAATCCATATTCTCCATCATGGCCAACAAGTTTAATGAATTTCGGTCATGTCAGTAACAGATCCATTCAATCAGACTATGAATATTGTGATTCGAGACTTCTGCGCAAACAAATGTAGCAGAAAGTGGGATTGACAAAG